TGGACCCAGCTGGTTGGCCAATTATCAGAAAGAGAATTAAAGAAGCTCGTCTCACTTGTCTCAACATGACACTAACACGGGACTCAGACATAAATCTAGAAGACTACACGGCACCAGAACACAAGCACAGCAAGGCACCACCACACCAAAGGGTGAAAGAGGAGATGTGCACCTCCTGTCTGCTCTTGTCAGTCTGCGAGGACGGTGAAGTGGTGGGAGGAGTCGCTTCAGACGACTTCGGCTGAAAGAGAGAATTTCAGACAGAGGGTTAGACATGAAGACGAGGAGAAGGGGGAACAGAAAAAAATGAAGAGAGACGAGAAGAACAAGGAGGGCACAGTATGGAGAGAGAGCGAGACGGAGGGGGAGGAGAGTGAAGCAGAGACAGGAGTGACTTAATTAGAGGGAACGAAGGATTTTCTCCACTACAGCAGAGTAGTCTTTGCTTCAGGAGATGCAGCAAACCAAGGTTATATTCAGCCCCGCAGCTGCACAGGACGAATAGTCTCCAAATAGAGACTCACATCACACACAAACCCACAGTTACTGAGTGTAGGGACGACCTCTATTAACCTGCCGTTGACCTTCGAGACAGACCGACAGCTGGGTTTGCATTGAACTCTGCAGCCAACCAGCTACAGTAAATAGTTGTTTTTCTGTCCATCACATCGTTTCATAGAATAGAAATCAGCTATCAGGCAGCATGACAGTAGCCACATCCTCCTCTGACATTACAATTGTGGAGAAGTTGAAAGGTTGTTTGTATTGTCTAGTAGCAGACATCCCCCAAGGACTGCCACAGATACCAGACTTTTTCAGGAGCAATAAATTCATGAAATAGTCTCATTCTTCAGCCCTTGGCAGGAAATGAAAACCTATTTTCTCTGTATGCTTTTTCCTCAAAGAGATGAGTGAAATATTTGGTGATTTCACCTGACATAGATCAGTGCTTTCTACTCACTGATTTAAAATAGCGATTAAATCATTTCCAAATAAATGACTTTAGATCTGACTAATTCTTATTTAGTCATGGTAATTTAACATAACATTTAACAAGCACAAATTTAGAGGGAGTTTGAGCTGCATTAAGTTTTCTTCTTATTTACAGCGATCGGGCATAACATGATGACCATGTGCCCAATACTGTGTTGATTCGACTTCTGCTGACATACAGTATATGAGCTGTAAGGCTGCACGATCAATCAAATAACAGATAGCTGTTAGCAGGGAAATTTGAAAAGAATATGGTCCACAAAGGTTCATTTCCATCGCTGCAAACATCTGCATGCATAATATATTACAGATTTCGTGTTTTTGGCACAGAATTCAAACCTTATATTTTGTTGATTTTACACGTTTGCATTCTGCAAAGAAAATCTATCGTGAAAGGCAGCCCAACACCAAGGAATGAAAACACAATTTCTACAGTAATTACTGCCATTTTCAGTCCGTCTTCAAAATTCATACCAATCCAATCCCATCAGCCACTTCATCACATAACAGTCTAAAACCTTCCTGGCTGTAATGAGACATGTCAGTTAGCAGATTTAAGTAAACAGTTGTGATGCTACCTTGCCTTTGTCTTTATCTGTTCCTTGTTTATTTTTTGCCATCTGTCTGTTTGCTGCCTTTCTACATGCGCCATGGCTCCAGCTACCTCCCTCAAGATTTGCACATCGTCTCCACTTACTGCCTCTCCACACAACAGCTGAACAGAGTAATTATTCCTAAAAGCAGCAAAAGTAATGAGGTCATAAAAGCACTAAAAATATATACATTTCTTTTGCAGTCTGTTACGTGGGTGAAAATGACACAGTGCACCGCCTGAGCTGCGTGGAGCAACAGGGAAATGTTTAACAAGATTTTGCCCAGGACCAGTATAAATGAAAACCATAAAAAGCGAGAAATGTTAGGGTCTGAAATTACTTTAATCATGCTCTCGTGATAAAACTACAATTCACACATACTGCAGGAAAATTAGAGAACTCCTGGGTCTAAATTTTAACTGCTTAATGTTAGCAAGATACAACCCCCTCAACATTACTGAAGCATTGTAATATCATCTTGATGCAGAACAAAAAGCAGCATCCAAAAAAAAGCTTTGAATGCTCTTCATAAAGCCTGGAGAGCTATTCCTGCAGTTGCCTCACAGAGTTCAGGCTGTGCTGAAGAATAAAAGGAAGCCATACAAAATATTGACTTTCAAAATCGTTTGAACTGAACTTCTAAACTGAACTTCCATGGATGTTTGTAGTCTAAGGAGCTTGGGGGGAAAAAGCGTCTGGACTTCTTTAGGTTTCTTGAAGACGTTTCACTTCTCACCCGAAAAGCTTCTTCAGTTTTAAGAGCAACTGGTGGAGAGTCAAAGATTTTAAGCCCTAAGGGAGTGTCCCCAAAGAGGGTCATGGACCCTGTATTGATCCTCTACCTAATCACCTAGCCTCACCCTATCATGTGATTTCCTAAGGTCAAATGGCCCAGGAGGTGAGTGGGCATTAAGGTGTCTGGGAAGGGATCTCAAAACTGGATTATAGATGGCAGAGGGTGTCGTAATCCACCGCCTCTGTTCAAAGATGGCTGTTCACAGTGGACATAGATGGCTTCTTTCACTCCTCTTTCAAACCATCTGTCCTCTCTGTCCAAACCCACACCCGTTTTCACACCTTGGCTCGTGTGATTAGGTAGAGGATCAATAGGGGGTTCATGACTCTCTTGGGGGACTCTCCACCAGTTGCTCTTAGAACTAAAGAAGCTTCTCAGGTGAGAGGTGAAATGTCTTCAAGAAACTTAAAGAAGTCCAGACTCTTTTCTTTCCAAGAAAGACTCCGATGACCTGGATGACTGAGAACCTTCACAGACACGTGGATGTTTGTACGTCTCATTTTCCTATCACACATTACTATATCTTAAAGACTAACTTTCTTAACCATTTAAATCAGCAGGCCTTTCAGACGCACTGATAGAAAATGACCAGAATTCAAAAAACAAGGATGTGGCCACTTCATTTCAAAATTGCAAAAAAAACAAAGAGTAAATTTTGGACATGTATTTCTGGAGACCCCAGAAGAATATAGAGCTTTTTTTCATAAACATTACATTGGGGATTCTGTGGATAATTATGCATCGTCTCATTTCAGGATAAATAATAAACTATTCAACCAA